TGGAAATGCTTCACTTGAGGAGGCAGATCCTATTCTGTTGTGTTTAAAATTAGTGCTCATGTAATTATTTTAAGTTTACATTTTCAGTATAAGTTTTATTCACTCAAGGCAGTCATAGGTTCATAACTTTATTATTAGTAAGCCCGAGAGTTACAGGATCCTAGCAAACAGTTACTGGAAGCACACTGTCAAAAAAAGAGAGCTCCCGGATTTTGTTCCGGCAGGATCTGGTTCATATTAAGCTCTGGTTTCTACTGAAAACTGAGTATAGAAAAATCCTTTAGTTTTGAGATATGATCTTCCACGCCCGCCCCTCTCCGTAACAGAAGAACGTACAGTGACTGCACCTACTTCACTGTCCCTAAGGAGCAATACTGCCCCCTATCAGTGCAGAAAGGTACTTTCTGCCTCACCACCCTGTGTATTTTAACCGTGCTTCTATGACTGATTAGAAAGAAGAAATATGTCACACACATTCATTCAATATATTAGACAGACTGTAGAACATCAGCATGTGTAGCACATGTGTAATCAAACACATATATTGGCGATATAAAGACAGACAGCAATGGGCATGCTCCAACCGCCTACTTCATATGTTGCATGTGACACAGCGCCACCAGAGGTGAACCAGAGCACTACACTGCCTCACCCAGTGCATTTCTTCCTTGTTTGAACAGGCAGTGCGTAAATTCTGTGATTTTGACCATTGAAGTGTTGAAATAATTCAGAAAACAGTTTCATAAAACAGTTTTATAAAACAGTTTTATAGAACAGTCAAGTGGTCAAATGTATTTTCTCTTATCATGCTAGTACTTTATTGTCATGACCACAGGTGCAGCACTGCCTCCCCTGACTGCACGTCACTGATGTTGCTAAGGCTTACATGTTTGGTACAGACAAGAGACATGCTGTACTTAACAGCAGCTGTGGTGCATGGTTGTAATGTTGTGGTTTGTTTGAAAATGTTTGATGGCGCTTTAGGGTGTGATCCATCTGTAAAGTCAGACAGTTCTCAGATCAGAATCAGAATAAGCTTTATTATTATTGCACCGAATACAGCGAGATTATGTCCGTACAGTCATTTGAAAGATGGACGGAGTGCACCTTGCTGCTGCTCCTAACAGCATGGCCCTTATTCTTTAGATAGAAAAGGGGAAAGGCCATGAGAAAAGGATAGCGGTATTGCAAAAAAGATCTCTTCAAACATTGTTCTTGTCAGGACACGATTTAAGACATCCAAAAAAAAAAAACCTCTACTAGCAAGCACATTTATGGATAATTGAGCATGGACTTTGTTGTTCATTTATTGAAACATCACATATGCATTTGATGAAAAGATGGTGAAATTTGTCCATGAAGCACTTCCAGATAGCACTATAGTCCTGATTAGATGTTGGTGTCAGCCAGTACAGCTCTGATAAGGGTTTAGAGAAGTTCTTGGGGGGAGGTGGGGTGTTGAGCAGGTGATGGATAGAGCAGAGCCTTCTTAGTTTACACATATCCCAGGAGAATTTGATAAGTTGGACTGCTTCAGCGCCAAACAGGGGAGTCAGATTCAGATAAGCCGCAGTTGAGTTGATAATCAGCTGAGTCAGAGTGCTCGAAGCACGAAACAAACCTTCACATAAGGTCAGCAGCTTTGCCATGGCCAGAACTGCTGCCGCCATCCTCTTTAATAGCCAATAACATGGATGGTGCCAAAAAGCAGAAACCCTGCTATCGTAAATCCAATCGATACAGAAAGGCACATCAACTTGTCCATGACGTATCCTGCCGTCTCAGTGGGGCATGAGGGTTCTCCAGGACCCTGTCGCCTGGTTAAAAATATTTTATTAATTGCTTTGAAAGTCTAGCTGACCAGATCCATGTCAGTAATTTACGATTTGGAAGATGTGTAAATAGAAGCTCTGATACACAAGACAGAGAGAAGAAAACGGGCAGGAGGGAGACGGGAGAGGGAAGGAAATGTGTCCGTCTTGATGAGAGCGAGTTAGAAAACAAAGAAACATATAACCCACAGTTGGAGATAACTGCATGTTGTGAGGGCTGGTTTGACTGTAAATGAGCACTGCATGTAGGAAACCAAACTACTATAAAAACTAAGAACATTTATCACTGACGCAATTAAATATTTCAGTGAACCATGAGGAAATCTGTGGTTGGGAAATGCCACAAACGTAGTTTCACTGAGCAGAGACTAAGTGCATTTTTCATGACTCACCCGATCCTGGGATCTTCAGGTCTCCTCATCTCGATGGTGTGCAGAGGGCCGTTAAGGTTCACGACGTACAGCGTGATAACTGGGTTTTCCTCACCGGCCTGAAGAGCATCAGAACATTAGAAGGAAACAGAACTTAAAACGTCTCATAATTGATACTTTTATTTATAATAAAATGAAGTTGTTAACTTTAGCTCATTTCTTTTGATCAATACAAATTAAATTCCCTAAAAGTTTAAGCAGTTTATATTAAAAGTCAATATGCATGCCTTAGGGTAAGGGTACTCCTTTCCTGTTGGGTAGGGTGAGCCTGTAAACATGGGCAGCTCCATTTTGGGCACCAGCGTGTCGTTGATGGTGGCGTAGGCTAACCTGGCACCATCAGGAGACCACCAGTGGGCTACGTATGAGTGGAAAATCTCCTCTGGAAATGTCAGAACAAAATGACTGTCAGGCATATATTGACAGTGAATTAAAACAAAGAAACAAATTCAAGGAAAAGCATAATTTATGTACATATCTGCACAAAGGCAGTAGAACCAATAAGCATAGTTAGAAATAAGTCCTTATTTCAGAATGCACAGTGCAGCACAAAAGTTTTAAAACAGCACTATTTGTTTTTTGTATTTCACTCCCAAAGACCCAGACTTTCTTGTAATCTTTTAAAGTGGCTTTGATCAATAGTTCTCCAAGTTTTCCAAAAGTTTTCCCTTAATCTTTAACTGCATTTACAATCATTCTCAGTTCAGTACATGCACCTGACCATGGCAGCACATTGTGCAGGGAAAGCTGAAAAATGAGTCAACTGGACAAGAGGGGGACAACAAATTATTGTCAGGACTAAAAACTATCCATAAACAGCATCTAAAAAACATGCCTTTAAAATTACAAACTGTTTCTGTGAATCTTTGTGTTTTTTAAACAAAATTGTTTTAATAAAAGTGACAGAATATCCAATAAGAAACTATTTGGGAATCATATTGTTGGTGCTAAAACTATGATACTGAGTTATTGTTGGTATATTTTCATAAATTCAACTCAAGAAATGGGAACAAATTGTGTCTTTACAACAGGATGCTGGTAACAAAGAGCCTAAAGATTCAATTTTAAAGTTGGATCTTTGTTAAGGGCAGCACGGTGGCGCAGTTGGTAGAGCTGTTGCCTCTCAGTGAGCAGTTCTCTGGTTCAAATCCTGGCTGGGGGGGGGTCTTTCTGGGTGGAGTTTGCATGTCCTCTCCGTGCATGTGTGGGTTTTCTCCGGGTACTCCAGTTTCCTCCCACAGACCAAAAACATGCATGTTAGACTGATTGGTAACTCTAAATTGTCCCTAGGTGTGAGTGAGAGAGTGAATGGTTGTTTGTCTCTATGTGTCTCTGTGATGGACTGGAGACCTGTCCAGACTGTCCCCCATCTCTCGCACAGTGCAGCTGGACATGGGCACCAGTGTCCCCAGTAATCCGAAAAGGAATAAGTGGGTAAAGACGATGGATGATTCTTTGTTAAGATTTTCATAATTTTGTAGTGAATGTAGGGACAGCTTTGCTATAGCTTCACTGCTAATTAATTATTATTAAAGCTAGTTCAAGCACAAAGAATATTAATTATTTAATTACAACGGATTCTTTCTTTTTCGAGTTAAATTATTGTTTTGTGACGAGATAACTGTGAGGATTGTTTAATCAGTGACATGAGACGCCATTTTTCTTTGACCCATCAGAATAAATGCGGTCATTTATTTAACAGAATCAAAATTTAACATCAAAATAAGGTACACATTGATTTGCTGATCTGGTTCTGATTAATAAAAACTTGGCATGCTTTACTAACAAGACAACAGAACATCACTGATGGAGGCATCTAGATTACTGGCAAAATAGAAAAGTTTAAGGGAAGGAATGGAGAAGTTTAAAAGGAAGATGGATTAAGGAAAGATGTATGTTTGTTGACCAGAATTAGCACGCTTCTTTCAACACCAGCTCAAACCCCCGGTACACTCGGTGCGTGACGACTCGTGACGTCTCTTTACCTTTGCAGATGATGGATCAGCTCCAGTATAGATGTCCCTATGCACGCTACCTTTACAGCGTCTCCGGTCAGGGTGGCTGGTCATCGTCAGAAGTCGTGTGGTTTACTCCGTTCAACAGAACAAGCTTCCTTCGAAGTTGTAGGGCGTTACGCCCGGGTGAGTTCACAGCGAGGTGCTGTGACTCCAGCTGGGATGGACGAACCTTCGTCTCATGGTCAAATCCATCAACTATTGATTAAATCTGAAAGTTCCTTAGGAACTCTCAGGAAGACTCCAGGAAGACTGAAGAAGACTGAGTCCGAAGTTCCACTCAGAAGTGGAAGACTCTGGTGAAAGACCCAAAAAGATTGAATAGTTCCAGGAAGTGTTGACTTTTAAAGAGTACTCACTTCCGGTCACTTGGTACTTCCTGACTGGTTGAAACAACCAACAGGGGCGGTGTTTCAGTGATGTCAGAGGGTTATTAGGAGTCAAAAAGACAGCAGGAATGTTTAGGATCGTTTAGTACAGACAGGGGAATGTTATGGCGAAGTGAGACAAACGCAGATGCCAGCTTCTTATTTACCGTCTGCTAGGTTTAAAAACAAGACACTTCGTTCTAATAACTTGTCTCTGTCTGTCTCTGACTTTCGACCGACATCACTACTCCTCATTCAGACAGAACATCAAAATGCATAATTACTTTATAAATAGACATTTAACTTGATTTCTAATTTATAATGAGGTTTAAAAATCATTAATACTGTTTCACAGTTGATTTAAACTTAGTGGTTCACTTCAACATTTAGAAATGGTATGAACTAAACACCCTTTTTGATTATCAAGATATTCTAAAATAGTAATGATAATATAAAAAGAGAGTGTTCTTTCAGTTGATTAATTCAGGATACAATTAGTCTCTTGATGAGATAATTTGTATTTCTGGATTCAAATCAATGAAATAACAGTTCCTGTCCCGTGAAGGTCCTCAGAGACAGATTGTTGTCGGAGGTCTAGTTCACTACAATTTAATACAACTTCATCTCATACATAGACTTTTTTAATGCCTGAATGATTTATAGATTTATAACAGTTTAACAAACAAACAATCTTCTGAAAAAGATCTGGTACTGGACTAAAATGAAGTTTAAAACAAACAAATATAAAAAACAAACAAAACAACAATAAAACCCTTTAAAGTCCTTAGATTGCATAAAAAATGTATCAAAATATCACAACATGTCTGTCTGTTAAATATAAAGATACAAGCGATGAGAG